ATTTTTTAAAGTGTTGTTGTTTAATAAAAAAAAAAATAATCGTATTTTCATGCGTTATTATTTGTCGAAATGTATATCGTTGCGTCCGTTAAATAATTTATCTTTACGATGGTTAATTAATTTATAATTATTTATACAAGATTAATTAATTTATTGAATAATATTCTTGCGAGGAGCGGAGAAAAACACGCCCGTATCGCTCCGTGTCCCGAACACGACTCCGTTAAATCGATGTTTTGATTATAAATGACAAGCGATGTTATTATTTCCCGTGCCTCGATTCGTGCCGGCAGTGACGAATTTCGGTATTGTACACGAACCTCGTAACGATTATATTTATTTAATCGAGAAATGATTTATATTTTTTATCTTTTTGACTCAACGACAAAATTAAGTGCATTAAAATAAATCGTAAGTTAAAATTATATTTCGAAGAAGTTTATAACAAATGCAGATTATCTTTTTCTTAATTTATATGTAATTTTGAATTAATTAATTCTTGTCACTCTATAAATTATTTAAAAAAATGCATCATATTGAAATTATAATCAATCAAGTGTAATAATAATTGAGCCAATGATAAAAATTGAAACAATTTTCATTGATCAGATTTATGGTTTATTTATTCATCGAAACAGTTAACAATTGTTCCATTATTTTCTCGAAATAACTCGTTTAAAATTTCTAATTACGAGAATCATTATTCAGGATGATAAACTATAGACAATTGTTTTGTATAATTAAATAATATTATTCTAAAGGTAAAAATATCTAATCACAATCGATCAATTTTATTAATTAATCTTTCCATAAAATAATGTCTCGTTAAATTAAACACAATTCTAATACCTTTATGAATGAATGATAATAAATAATATTTTATAAATTGAGTTTCTAACGAAAATCTATCTTCTAAATTTAAATATTCTCTCTTTTTTGATAGAAATTATTTTTTAAAAAACTTGTCATTTTGAAAAGTTTGTTTCAAAATTTAATATTTCTTTTTAAAATTATTTTCAATCAAATTACGATTTTACATTATTAATAAATTTCTTCAAAAAAAAAAAAATCAAACTTCTATAAAAAAACGACAAATTTATTTATTTTTAGAAAAGAATATTCGAAATTTTTTTTTTCTTTTATGTCAAAGATTTTATCGAGAGTGAAAAATAAAAATTCAAATTAAACTTTCTTTTTACAAGTGGATAGTCGGCAATATTTTTAAGGATATGGGATAAACGACCATGAAACTTTTTAAAGATGAGAAAAAGTGAAAAAAAAAAATTGAAAAATTCGGCGACCAGACAAGATGTTTATTCATGTTTATTGATAGTAAAGAAATTCAACGTATATGATGCCTTTTATTCTATCCATTTTTATGGTTTGAGGAATATGCAGCTAGCAATAAATGTTGTAAAATTTAAATAAACTTTTATATTTTTTATTACATCATTCAACAAAATTTCAATAGCTTCTAGACTGCAAATGTAATTCTTATGGCATCGATATTACAGTGTCATGCTATGAAGAATTTATTATATATAACATTAATAGTATTTTTTTTCTTCCTTTTTTAAAAAAAGGAATTTTGATTATATAAAAACACTTATTTCCTCGTATATCACATTATATAACACATATTATGATATTATATCGCGAAAAGATATTAAATTATTTTGAAGCTTTTAAATAGCTTTTAAATAATATGATTTTCATGCACACTGGACATAAGAGCAAAAAGGATTAATTATTCATCTCGAAGTATCAATATCTTTTATATTATAACTTAAAGTTTATAAAACTTATTTAATATTTAATGAAAAACAAGGAAAAAGTGTCATATATATTATTCATCCTCTCCTTGCTTTTCACGTAATATTTTCAATCTTCAACTTATAATATCTTTCAAAATACCGATTTTTCGGCATAAATAACTCAATCCTCTTTTTTCAATTCATGCATTAAAAATAACGTATAATAATAAAAACATTATACCAAATATCCTTTTCTGAGGAAACACTTTTTCCCTCTAACAGATATTTCACTGTACCTACTAATTTTAGATAAAAACCCAAAACCATATATAAATCATAATAATACATTTTCATTCCTATTTTTATAATTAAACCTCGTCGCGGAACTATAATAACCCCCGATTCGTTTTCATATTCGTCCTCACCTCGAGTTCAACTTTCTCCACTAGGATTAAAAAAAAAAAAAAAAAACTACTCTACTCTGCTCCGACGGAACGAAGGAGGAACGAACAGGATAACGAGAGAATCGCATTACCGCAGATGCGGATGCACCACTTGATAAAACTCGCTCATCGCTTCCGTGTTGCGCTTGCTAATCGCTTTTTATTACCGGTTGCGTTCGAAACGATCGCCTCCCTCGAAACGTTGCCCGCTTTTCGACGAACCCAGGGTAAACTGATACGCACGGGGAGGAATCACTTTGAGTCAGGGTAACGAGAGATGGCGGTTCCCGACTCTCTTTGAAACGCGATCGAAGCGAAGATATGCCGAGTCTAAAGTGTCTTTCCGTTTCGAACGAACCGTTTCTTGAGGGGGGGGAGAGGGATCGAAGGGAAGCTCGCTGTGTCTGAGCCTTTGACGGATTAACATTGTTTCCTCGACAAATAGAAGCAGTTGTCTCAGCCCTGATTCGAATGTGTGCGGTGAAAATTAATCTATATTCGCGTGGTGTCGTTGTTCGAAACGACGAAAGTGTCTATTAACGAGGATTTTCATCATTTGGATACTATATCTTATATTAATGAGAAATTACGAGCTATCAGTCTTAATAAGTTTGCAAGTTTGATAATTGGAATCTGTTACTTGGAAAATTGTTACAATAGAAAGGTTTCTCTTTTATGGAAATGTGAATACTAAAAAGAGGAATTTATCTTATTTTCTTCAAAATTTCAACAATTACCCTTGGCAAATATTTGACAAGTTTTTTCCACGTTTCATAAAATGGCTCAAACAAAAGGATTAACTTTGTCGCTCTCTTAACTTGGTTTAGTATCTTGTGGTAACGTGATCAAAGACAGATAACATCAAATAACTCTAAATAATTAGATAGATCCGTAAACATCTCTTCACCCACGCAATGTACACAGAGGCGAGCCTAAGGTGCCTGGCTGCAGGATAGAAGCCACCGTTCAACTTTACTCAAGCCGAATATGTCAACCTTGTTCAATTTTAATTTTGTTTCTCAGTTAATTCAATTCCTCAGAGTTAACTTTTGCTTAACAATTCTAAAAACTGTTCTATTTATGCTAAATTTCTCCTTTATGTTAAATTCATGTTTTTGAAACATATATTTTATACATTTAAATAATAATAACTATTTCTCTATTACAAATATGGAATTTTTTTAAAAATGTAATTACAATATCAATTCTTATCAATTGTTTATACATTAATTTATTTTTCAAGTTTTTTATATAACTATCCTTTGGAATTTTATTATACAATTCATTAAGAAAACTGTTTTCAATTAACGAATAACGATAATTGCAAAATTATATTTAAACGAAACAAGAAAGTTTAACCAGCAATTTTACCACGTACATCTTTCACAAGATGATGATAGTTATAATCTTTAAGGGTGTCGCTCTGCAAACTTTAATTCGCTATCGTTATTACTTCTACAACTTTTAAAATGTTTCGTACAACCACGTTTTGCACCAATCTTTATAACTAGTTACCGAAGTTTTCTTAAATCGAGAAACGTGTACCGATATTTCAGAAACTTGTAACTATCTCTCCTCCCCCCATTTACATCCAATATTATTCGTTACATCAACCTCCCTGTTTATTCATAACAACCCGTGTATATGTTAATTACTCGCCGAGTTTGTTAATTTCTTTCCTCTTCTTCGTTTATTAAAAATAACAAACGTCAGAAAAACAATCCAGTTAAATATATTTCTCCCCCTCCACCCCCCGTATAATTTCTCATTTTATCGTGTTTCGCCATTCGAATCAGTTCATTAAGAACTGATAAGCGTTTAATAAAGTTACACTGGAGACCTTTTGTCATCTAACTCGATGCATACGTACGATTGGCACGATCTGGTAAGAAGAAAAAGAAGAAAGAAAAAAACTGAAAGGCAAATTATAATAAATAACGTGCACAAAAAAAATATTGCCCCATCGCGACTTGCATATAACAACCTTGCTTGTTTATCTCTCGTTATATTAACTGTAATTACCGAAGGTATGATTGCGCGTAATTACTGTCGACGGTTAATTAGCATAAGTTCGCCCGTAGGATTCACGATACTTCTAACGCCATCAGCCTATGGTTCGAGGAAAACGTTTATTCTCGGGTAAATTAGAGTCGTGCGTATATAAATGCGACGAGTGATCAACAGCATCCTTGCAAAAGGAAAGTTTATAAGGGAAATTTATAACGAAAAGGAAGGAGGAAGTAAACTCTGATATATCCTGTATAAATGGATATTCACGAACGAACTTGGAAGATGTTAGTAAGTTTCGTTACACGTCGAGTTTCGTTTCGCTATAAGTTCGAGAAAATAATGTTAATCGAAAATTATAATAATGTTGTTGATAAGTTGTTGATAACTTGTACTAAATATTTGTTCGAATTGTAACGATGATGAAAAATTATCAATTTGTACTACACGTCTGGGAAAATTGGAATGATTGACTTGTCTGAAATTCTTGTTCATGCATTATTGATATAATCAATAATTGATCTCTGCTATTTGATGTACACTGAATAAATTAATGCACTGAGTCTTTAGATAAATTTTCAAAATACTGTATCTTAGAGAAATAGAATTTAAATAAAGATATCATTTGCATTATTGTACATTTAAATTTTCTAAAAATGCATAAGCAATAATGTTTAATAATAAATCTACACATTTTGAATTATTTCAATTATGTTAACTTGGATATTATTTATAGAGAATAATGATGGAAAGAATAATTATATGTAAGAAAAACATGTTTTAAAATAAAACTTACCACGAACACAAGATGCAATCCTCTACCGATGTTAGAGGTTAACCTGGAACAGAGATAATTACTGTTAGTAAAATTTCCATACTTCATTGTTTCCTCAACATTTTAAATTTCTTTAATTGCATTAAAAATTTTTTATACGTTTTTTTTACACACACTGGACTGGAATCAACTAGATAGATAATTCTGACCTGAAAAGCTATGCAGCTCTCCATAGATTGTCATTAAATCCTATCATGGAGAACAAGGTTAGTCTAGTTTTTTATGCACATGAGAACTGTGTATCTGTTTCGTTGGAATATTGTTTTAATATACGAATCTGCGCATATGCAGAACTAGTTCAGAATACATATCAGAAAAAATAGGTTAGATTAGATATGTTGGATCTATTTATCTTAATCATTTTTTTCAATTATTTCTGTGATTAATTTTATATTATAAATGTTTGAAATATAAATAACTATAGACATACTTAAGAAATTGATCTCAACAGATCTCTCTTATCGTAAGAATTTAAAATGTAACAAGTAAATTTCTCCTAGCATTTTTAAAATATGTGTTGTTCATTAAAGATCTTCTTTACGATTAAATTAATAATTAGAGAAAAGAATCAAATAATATTTTCACTGGAGAGAATATCGTAATACATTATATTGGAATATCTTCTTGTTACAAAATTGAGGCAATTGTGTTAACATTGAAAATAAACTTCATTATAGAAATTATCATGATCATGCATCACTAATGGCGCACGTCGTATTATCAACTGAGAAATCATTTAAACAATTGATTTACATCTATTAATTAATTAACATAAAATCAATAATTTTATATCTTGTCCATCATGTAATGGACGATAATATTTAAATCGTGTCAGATATCATGACAGCAAAGAATCTAAATTTAAATCTAACGAACGTATCGACAAAACAGACAAAAGACTGAATTATACATAAAATATTGAAACATCATATTTTTCAATAGGGTATGTACATGTGCATATGTGTCAACTTTTATAATTTTCGTTTGAATTATTCTTCCCTTAATATATCACATTTTCAATGCAAATCGATAGGAAAATTCTGACGTGTCTCATATTCCTTAATGGAACAAAAAATTGCTGTCATGGATGTGTCCAAACGAATTCTTTTTTTCATCAGAGAATGTAAATGAAATGATACTCTGTAATGAACTTCGAACGGATTAATATTGTTTCATAATATATGCATTAAGAAGAAAAATGGAACGAAAATTCACGGTTTTTAACCTTAAAAGTATATTCAATGTGAAATTATGTTTAAAACATCTCTAGAATCTTTTTACAATTTAATGAATTGAATCTATGAATTTATGAAAATCTGCATTTTACTTGCAAATTCATTTGTTAAAACTAGCCATTAAAGAATCCCAAAACTCATCGAACAATAAATATTTTTCATCAATTTAAAAAAATTTATCCATACGATTTCCTCTGTAAATTCCATTTACAATTCATTCCTATTTTTATCCTATTTACTCAACTGAATTTGAAATCATTAACATAAATTTCAAAAATTCACAAACTTGCAAAAAAATTGGGTTAGAATTTTCTGAAAAGATTCTTTTTTGTAAAAATTTATACAGAGATTACTAAAATATATAAAATACCAATAAAATTGTAAATACATTTGTCTTTCTACACACATTTATCTAAATGCATGATCATCCCCCAGAAAGCATTGGCGCAGCGCGGGACATTTGAATTTCATGCATAAAGACGCAAAGTCTGAGAGCAGTGCAAAGATACAAATATTATAAACACTGGCACGGATGAATCTTTCGCGATCAACGTGACGGAAATCGTTAAAAACCAAGACAGAGAAAATCCGGGGATAAAAGAAAAGTGGATCGAAGGGAGGGATCGTTCGATTCTTGGAAAGTCGTTTAGCAAATACACTTTCGAGCTTTACTTTGCCCTCGATCGAGGAACTCCCTCTCGCCGGATTGCGAGATGAGGATGGAAGAGCGATCGAACCGAACTGGCCACTTTGCTCAACGAATTTTCCACCGTGAGTCGAGTAGTCGTTTCTCATTGTCCGTGCACGCAACTTCGAGGCCACGTTACATTTCCTACATTTACCATTACATCCCTGCAATACCATCAGAGCGATAAGGGAAAAGTTTATTTAGTTGGATTTCGTGGTTTTTCGATTTTTCGAGATTGCATTGAGTTGCATTCAAGAAGAACGAGCTGTGCTCTAGAGTATATTCGAGAGAACATTATTTAAAAATAATTGTTTCAAAGGGCTATTTGTTATGTAATAAGTTATGTTCTTTATTGGGTTGAAGTCAAAGAAATTCGAAAATTGGGTATTGAAATACAATCTTGGGAACAAATTTTTAACTCAATTATTCGAATTCCTTTAATCAACGAAATAGAAAACATGATTTGAATTAAATTATTATTCAAAATAAATTTCTAATTAAAATTCTTTAGAATACTATTGCTTTTATAAATTGTAAATTGTAATTGATTTCTTTCTAAATAATTTTAGCTAAAATTGTGAAAATTGAAATGAATTTTAAATAATTTATTAATTGCTATTGCTATTTTAAATACGATTCATCATGATGAATTTCAAACCTCTAAATCTTTCATCTTAAACTATAAAAATATCAAGTGAAATTATTTATTCCAAAAGTTTCTCTTTTCAAGATAAACTCATTTCTCAATATTTTCTAATTACTAGAAAATCTTTCTCGTACAGAAAGAAAAGATGCAGAGCAACCTTATTAGAACGTCGATTCATCCTTTTAAAATTCTTATTTAAAATTCCATACCCTCGTTCCTCCACAATTACTTCTTCTCCCTCTTTATTTTCACACCTAGTATTTCTCATTTAAATGATAAACAGCTCTACGCGGTTTTAAACGAACGCGCATAAATAATGCAAAGGTTTCTGGGATTCCGGAATACCGAGAACACGAAAAAAAGAAGAGGCAGAGAGAAAAAAAAGAAAAATGGAAAAAAAATCCATCATAATGCACGTGTACGATATATCGCAGAAATTCTGAATCTGCGATCTGCGACACGCGTGTGAATCCGTCTCGCGGTACATGCCTAACGAAATCCCTATCGTATTTGTTCGAATCCATGCACGGTACAGAAATTGTTCCCGTTCTATTCAGTCAAGGAAACTTGGATGAGAAATATGAGAAAGCGGGAGTAACTTCATTTTTGTTTCAACCGAGATCATGAGATACGACGCTTGTGATTTTTTTTTAAATGAAAATTTATGTTTGATCGAGACTTTCGTTTTTTTTTTTTTTTTGAGAAAAATGACTTTTGTTACAAGAATTGTCATATGTTTGGAAATCTCGCATCGTGATCGAATTTAATTTAAAAATCATTATTTTATAAAATCATTTGAATTGAAGAAATGGATTAACATATTGCGGGTATAATAATGGAAGAATTTTTGCGAGAGGTATGTAGTAATATTGGAGTGTAATATTTATTTTTAACTGTCCGTGATGCGTTTCAATTCTTGTTACGAATATAAATGGAAGCTCGTTTAATACAAAGGCTTCATTTATCATTCTCTTTTCTCATTCATTTTGCATTCATTGGATTAAATGTAATTCTCTGGAATAAGAAAAAGCGATTATGATTCGAGGAGATATTTCTTCACATGCTGGATACTTGAAACGAAATAGCTACAAAATATAGCTATATTTCAATATAATGTTAAAATAAAGAGGAAGAATAATATGTCTTGTATACTTTTTCATACTTTTCCAATAGTTAAAATTTCTTCTTGCACATGATTCTAATATTTATATCTAACTTAAACATTATTTAATTGCTTCTATCAAATTAATTTTTTTAAAAATTAAATATAAATATATATCATATTCACTTAATTTTTCACTAATGTGAAATTTTTTTTAAAAAAATTTTAACACTGCAATTTATTGATATTGCAGTATTAACATCAATGTACATTAATACTATAATATGTAAACTGCAAATATTATCAAATAACCTGCTTTAATGTCTTAATTAAGAACAAGCTCCGCTATCTCAGCCTTTGCTATCTCTGGAGTGCTCAAACTAAATGCAATTCAGTAGTCGAGGTCAGCTGAGGCTCCCATATACATCTAACTCAGAACGCATTAATCATAGCTTTCACGATATCCTCAGTATCCTTGGGGTGAAAATGTATAAAATGTATAATAAAATTTCAAAATAACATATTTTCATAAAAAAAATTAAAAGTATCCTTTCAATCAATGAATTCTAAAATTATAAAAGCCAAAAGTTTAAAATTAAAAATCATATCATAGAAGATATATTACAATTTACATTGCAACATCTATTCTTCTAATCTTATTGTTTCATAATTTTTAACGAAAAATTTATCATTTATTAACAATATACATTAATCATTATTTTTGTTAATAATGAATTACAACAATGACATTTCTTAAATCTATAAATTAGAAAATATTTTTTTCTTTTCGAATAAAAGATGTGAATTTATCGTTTTGATTAATAAATTGCAAAAAAAAAAATTAATCTAAGCCTATCTGTCGATTCTAAACTTTGCCAACAAAAAATTACAACTTTTTATTTTTGAAATAATCCTCTCATGAAATCCCTTTATTTCTGGCAGATAGTCAGAGACAGATAGATTTTTAATCTTTGTCTCACATTCCTGGAGAAATACTTCACATTTCCTACGTTCCAACACGTTTCGATTGTTCTTCAAATAAACTTCTCTTCATCACATTATATCATCTTTATATAGCAAGGAATATCATAGTATTTGAAATATCGTGTATCATAATGACATTATTATATTAATCTTTCGTATGTTTTTTTGAAATATTGAAATACGATTGAAATATTGGAGATATATTAAATTGATATATCAAATCTACTTTTAAAATCAAAATTAATGTATGAATTCATTGATGGAATGATAATGTAATTAAATTTTTTCGATTAAAATAGATTGAATTTTGAAATCGAAAGAATTTTATTGATCCACGTTTCTAAAAGTA